CATGGATGCAAAATTGCTGCAAGCAGAATGCAGTTGGTTTGGTTGGGCCACTCCAGTATAAAGTCTTGTGAGGCCGGCATACACTCGATGTAGCAGATGTATGCCCGAATTGTCCGGTGCCATGCCATCAGCACGTGTAGGTGCACTTCCTGCTACATGGCCGCCTTTCTGCAAGAAGATGTCGCGAACGTCTTGCAAGGCGCAAGGAAGGACTCACTATGGAGTGCGGAGCGGGCAAGCTGCCTTGTCTCGAGGGCCCCCAAGCGCCCAGCAATTCGTGATAGTTATGCACCTGGAGGGTTTAGCTGCGATTGCCTCTTGATCCTGGTCGTGACCATGTCCATCGAAAAGAACAAAAACACGAAGAGAAAATGATGAATTCTAGAAGCTTCTTTCAAAATGATCTAAGGCAGCCGGGGCTCAAGAGGCATCCCGGAGCTGCAGGCCGATGTCGCCGAAGATGCAGCGACGGCTCGGCGTCCCAGATCCGTGGGCGTACACGCCCCGAGAGCCCAAGCCTTCAAGCGCTGCAAGGCGCAGCTCAGGGAACTTGGAGAAATCCAAGTCCATGGAAGCCAGCTACCTATCGACGCGAAGGCTCTCGCACGCGACCAGTGACTAGACTCAAGTGAGAGGGGCGGAAACTGCGCAACCGGGTTCTTCAAAGGCTCGTTTTGCAATCATCCGAGATGCATCGGTTTCCGCGCAGCTGCAACGGCGCGGAAGTGAAGCGAGACTTGGTCTGCAATCGCGGCAGGCGAGATCGACGCTTGTGCAATCGGGATCGCTCTTGTTGCAATTGCAGAGTGCGGAGAGAGCAGGTACATGGCGGCGCATGTCTTGAATTGCCGGATTGGTTCGGGTCTGAGGTCGATTGGGACTGAAGACGGGTCTTCCGACGAGGCGGTGCAGCGGTGCAGCGTCAAACAGTGACAGAGACCGAGACTCAGGAGACACGACCCCACGGGCCCGCAGTGGAAGTGCAAGAACCCTTGAAGTGCCGGCCTCACGACCGGAGACGGTCCCCGGTCCAGCCAGCCCTTTCCCTTTCCGTTCATGGCATCTCCGGGCTCCGCCGGGCTCCAAGGCAGCGGCGCAACTCTCAAAGCCAGGCCCAGTCGCGAGGCGGACGGAAGCCTTGGCTCGCGAGATGCGCGCTACACGTTGCGCCCACTCCCACGGAAGGCCGGCGCCGGTCCAGCACCCGGGAGGCCTTGCCTTGCCTTGCCCTGCAAGTGTGCAGAAAGGGTGCCTTTTAAGTGATTCTGCCGAAGCGCTGCTGAGATATCTCTACCACGACGGCGGTCAGAGGATGCCTTGTCTGCATTATCGGATCGGTGGGTTTTGATATCATTCTCCAGGTGATGATGGTTCTGATTCTTGTCATGAGAATGGTCATGTCTAGTGCCAACCCAGACATGTAGAGTCGCAGCCTGACCCCGAAGCTTTCATACTAAGGTACACCCACAACGACGGCAATCAACAGACGATGGCCTTGTCACAAAGTCCAGTGCCTTGACTCGGTCATGCTCGGGGCGGTCGAACGTCGAACACCATGTAGGCAAGTGAAGCACACCTTACAAGTTGTTCCGTAGCTGTTTTCGTGCTTACGTTCCTCGGTCCCACATCTAGTTTCCAGCATCAGAAAAGTTATTTAGGGTTCGGTGCTGGTCAAGAAGGAGAGCGGACTAGTGCAGTTCGTCTTCTGCAAGACTTGGAGGGCTCTTGAGGAGTCGAGTCAGGTATGTCCTAGTTTGGTACAAGTGCAGACTCGCCCGGCAAACATGGAGTTTGGATGTGTTGAACTGTTGCACGAATGCTCCGGCTCTCTGACAGCTTGCATGCTGGACATGCTCGATTGGACGAAGCTCTCTGGAACCTGGGACGTGGAGATTCGCGAAGAGGGCAGCAAGACAAGGCGTTTTCAGACTCTCGGTCACGAAGCGATTTGTGTCTGCTTTTCCCACGTCGCAGGAAGGAGCAGAGGTTGCTGACGTTCAGCGACTCCGGGAGCATCACCGGCACAGGCCGCAGCGGGCACTGGGAGCATGTCTGTTCTCGGAGCCTCTCCGATGCTCGCAGCACTCGCGGAGGCAATGCTGGCTGCGTGTCGCTGGATGGGCGTGCGACCGGCCTGAACATGGAGTGGCTGGAGGCGGTATTAGTATGGCTTCCCTCGAGACGGCCGGGCTTCTAAGTGCCAGTCCGAAGGTCTATCCTTGGGGAAGCATGCATGTGACGGCGAAGTACAAAGTGAAGACCAAGATGCCTGGATTAAGTTGGGACTCTATTGTTGAGAAACCGCACGTTGAGAAACCGCACGTTTTGGATGTCAGCAAGATGTCGAGATGTGAAAGCAAGTTCCTTGAAGTGGGTGGAGGCCTCCCCCTCCTCCCGTCCGCACACCCCCACCCCGCTCTCAGCATCTGGTGATGCTAAGATGAAGCAGCGCCGGCCAGATTTGACGCGTATGCCTTGCTCATGCCCCGAGCGGAGAGGGTCATCCCCAGGCAGCGGCAACATGTGCTGCAGTTGTGGTGGGGATGGTGGTGTCGTAGCTGCCGAGGGTCGTCTCGTCGTTACGATGCTGAAGAAGCCGCAGAAGAAGCGGGCGGTGATCCTGGTCGAGGTTGCGCTGGTGATTGCTGTTGTGTTTTTTTTCTATTGTTGCTGTCGGTGGTGTTGGTGGTGCTGGTGCTGGTGCTGGTGCTGGTGCTGGTGCCGGTGCTGGTGCTGGTGCTGGTGCTGGCGGTGGTGGTGCTGGTGGTGGTGGTGGTGGTGATGGTGCTGGTGGTGGTCTTCTCGAGAATTTTCGACGTGCTTGTGGGCAGTGACTGGGGGTGATGAGGAGAAGGACTCGGAAGATGCAGCAACAGTAGCGAAACCGCAGTAGAAGCCTCGGCGCTGACGGCAGCGTAGGACAGTTGCAGTGGCACAAGCAGCCGGGTACAGCGCGGCACGTGGCGAACACAAGTATGCCATTATGCAGACAGACAGCATGCTCTCCGCGCATCTGAGGAGATTGCACGGGACTTTCAAAGCCTCCGATGGGGGGAAAGGCAGCTGAATATCTTCGTGTCTTCCTTCGCACCATCTGCTTGGCACAGCCGGTGTTCGTGTTCAGGCAAAATCGACATGTTCCACCGGCTGGATTAGGCCAGGAGGGTAGAGTATGGGAGTATTGGAGGCGTGTCCAAGGCCTTGGAGCCAGCATCTACCAGCTCCTCACACAGGGGAAGCTCCGTTATACTCCATCCGTCCAAGACGGGTGGAGGCGAGCTCTACGAATCCGCATCCCCGTTTTCAGCCTGAGCCTGTCGATGCATTATGAATCTCGCCCGGCTGAAATTGTATTGTGCAGCATTCACATGTTATTCTGAGTTTGTGCCGATCGGGCATGCTTCAGCATGCAGGCCATGTTTGTGTTTAACTTTCTGCGAGAGCTCACCTCCTGCCGAGGGCTGCGGAGATGGCAGCGTTTTTTCTGCCGATTTCCCCGGCAAAGTGAGCCAGACCCGTTGTAGTTGCGGGCGCTCCTGGTGAGTTTCTGACATTTTCCAGGCAGCTGGTGCCATGCCCAGAAACTATGGGCCGATCCGCAATGTGTTTGGCACGACGCTAGAGGACCGTCGAAGGCAGCGTTTCAATGCAGACCGGCATATAACATGTCTGGCCCAGTACGAACATCACGCAATTTGCAACCTTTCTATGAGGTCTTGCAGCAGAGGGGTGCCCAACATTGCGAGCTCTCTCTCTTGAGCTTCTGTGCACAGTCCTGCCGAGCAGGATCATGCTTTTGCCAGTGAGAGCAAAGGCATTAATATATTGACACAGTAGCAAGCGTAGTATGTAGTCGTAATCGATAACGGCAGCGCATTCGGGTGCAGCGCAACGGGGGGCCCATACCCCTGCATCAGCGTGTTACAGGTTTATGATGGTTGATCTCCTTCATGTGCATATATGTATGTATACAATGTATGTATGTATGTCTGTAACTGTATCTACGTACGTACGCACGCACGTACGTATGTATGTATGTATGCGTGTGTGTGTGTGTGTAGATGTGTGTGTGGGTGCATGCATGTACCTACCTGCCTATCTACCCATCTACTTATCTACCTATACCTGTCTACCTGTCTACCAACCTACCTTCTACCCTCTACCCTCTACCACCCAAATACATATTTCTCACCATTTATCTATCTACCTATCTATCCATCCATCTGTCCATTTGTCCAGCTAGCCAGCTATCAAGAATGTGTGTGCGAGATTGTTGGCATTTTCTGGGAGCTGCTAACCGCTCTGTTGCTCAGTGAGTCTTCGAACGCTATCGATCGGTAGGGACTGACCCATCCATCTATCCATCTATCCATCTTTCCATCTTTCCATCTTTCCGTCTATCTATATAGCTGGCTAGCGGTTATCTGTCTACATACACACCTGCGGCGGATTTGTGTGCTCTAGGTTCTTGTGTGCGAGATACGTCTGGTATCGTGTTCCGTGAGGCGGATTGTTGTTGTTTTGGTTTCGTGATCGGTTGGGTATCCTAGAACACACGTTCCCTCTCCAAACAGCTCGCTGTTGAAGGTTTCGTGGTCAGGTGAGTTTCATGGTGTGGAGGTCACAGTCTTTGTGCTTCATCCCTTTCGTCTCCCTGTCGACATTCGACGACACTCTCCACCGGCGATCGTGAACCAAGCGGTCGGGTAGACACTCTCTTCGGAACCGTGATTCAGTGTTTATGCGGCCTGCATGCGTTGGGTCACTTCTCATATATGGCCATTGGTGCATATGATCATGAGCAATACGACAAGTTATGTCATAATGCGAATTCTGCGAGCTGTCCTGCATTTCAGCAGACGCTGAAGAGCTAGGATGCTTGAGGCTTTCATCTTACCTCATGGAATGTGTGCTGGGATTTTCCTGTTCCCGCCCTTTCCTGAGGGCTTTTTGTGTGTCTCTCGCTCTGTCTCTCTCACCGAACATACTCCGTCTTTTAATGCGGAGGTGCGCAGGAGACGTTCGACCGATGCGAAGAGCAGACAAAATCAAGGGCGCTGTGTCCCCACTGGAGAGAGTTGCACAGCCCTTGGTGTCGCCTTGCAACCCCCGCGAGGTCTTGAAATGGTGAGGTTCTCTTGAACCGCAGCCGGGCGTCCAACAGCGCCACGGAGCCCACGAGGTAAACACAGTCCTGTGGAACAGTAAGACAAGATGCAAGGTGTGTCAGCACGTGAACGTGGGACCTGGCCGCCTGCCTCAAATGACCCTCACTTTGGGAGCTTCGTAGGCTTGGCCAGCGGCCAGCGGCCAGGCGGCAGCTTTCGGATGCCCCGCCTGGTCCGGCGTGTGTCACATCGGAAAGAGTCGCAGTGCGTTCCGCCATCCAGAGGGTGCCCCAGCCCTAGCACGCCAACTGTGAGCAACAGCGAGCCAGAAGAAGATCATGCAGCCGAGCCAGCTTGGTGGCATTCTGCTGTGACTCCAAGACCCAGACCCTTCGAACCGAGAGACAAAAAAAGGCCTGTGAGCTTGAGAGGTTGCCCGCGATACTTCCAGGTCTGTGCCGCAGTGCCGAGGCCATACCCGAGGTCTAGGTCATCCCGTCTTGACGTTCAACATCTTGTCGCCGGATTCACATCCGGCATCATGAAACCATGCTCATGCAACCACCAAACTCTGCTTCGCGTTCAGCTGGTTGCCGCCTTTCCCTCCTCGTTGCATCACTTGGCTCCAAGCGGCCTCTGTGCAATTTGATCTTGAAGCAGCCTGGGGCCTGCGTCTGACAGTTGTCGCGAACAGTGGCCAACATCGGTGCTCCTGTGTACATACAGATTGCACAATCCTGCACATGCGACTCTCAGAACCAAGCGCAATCGGAAGCGTCTCGATGCAGTTCAGTTTTATCGGAGAGGAAGATAATTGCAGTGATTGCATAGACGGAGGAGTGAAGACAGTTGGATGCTTACAACAACTCGGTTTTTGAGTTAAGCATAAAGACGATGGAGGGAAGGCTTCCGGCGCCGATGCTCTCAAGGCTCGGCTCCGGAGCGGAGCGGAGCGGAGCCAGGGCAAAGCCTTGGGCGGCACCTCAGCGCGGAGGCGGAGGCCCCTGCAGGCCGCAGTGCCTCCGGCGCGGAGGCGTCGGCGGGCCGAGGCCGAGGCGCGGCGGTCCCGGCTAAGAGAGACGTTTGAGCCAGCCCCGGAGCCTTCAGCAGGCCCAGACCGAGTCCGAGAGGCGAAGGGAGAAGTGCCTTAGGCCTGGGGCATGAGGAGGGCGGACTGCCGACACTGACTCTGGCCGCCCAGCCTTTGTCAAGGCTTCTGTTCGTCGATTGCCTTGGCGACTGTCCCGGATGTTTTGTCGTGGCTCTTCGAGATCCGCTTGAGTTTCGGATTTCGAGCTGGGGCCTTCCTAGGCCACGTCTGCCAGCCTCTTGTGCAGGCAGGATCAAAGAGCACTTCGGATCCTTTCCCAGTGCGCCAATCGCCGTAGCTGCGCCTGACAGGCGACGCCACCCGCGAGGTCAACTTCTTGGACGGCGTGCAGGCATCGGCTGGTTATCAGATACACGCAACGTCAGTAATCGCAGCTTGGGGCCTGACACACAGGTGGGGAGTCGAAAGGCTACGACGTCGTCGTTATAGGCCCTCAGATAGCCGGAGAAGCGGACGGCAGGACCGAGTGCGAGCTGCCAGGAGCCGGACTGGGCGGCCTGGCGTGTGCGGCAGCGCTTGGCAAGGAGTCCTGTGTTTGGGAGCGCTTCACAGTCAAGCCCCAGTGACAGCCGTGCAAGTCGACGTCAATATCTGTGGAGGCTGGGCGCCGCGTGCTCGTCCTGGAAGCACACAGCGTTCTTGGCGGCTGTGCTGGGGCCTGAGACCCTGAGTCGGGGGCGCAGCCGGATGTGAGCTCCGAGAGCACAGGCGCACTCCTTCAAACGCAAAGCTCCTGGAGGAGGCCAGGGGGGCGACAGAGGTAACTGCTCTGTGCGGCTGCTCTCTGAGTCTCTGTCCCGGCCAGGAGAGTATCTCTTCGATTCCGGGCCGTCCATTCTAACAGACATGGGGTGGGAGGCCTAGAGCAACCGCCCGAATCCCGAAGTTTTGCGCCTCTTGTGAAGCTCGCATGGAGACGGGTGCAGTAGACTTCCTAGCGTCCTTGGTTGGGTTCTACTTCAAGCTATTCCTCCTCCATTGCCGAAGCAGAGGAGGGACCCAAAGAAGCACGGACCATCAAAATGAGCTCAGGAAGCGCAATCCCCTCAGGGTTGTCATGGACTACGCCGCTTGCTTGGCCTTCGCAGGTTGTTTAGGATCCGTTGGCTTCTAACATGTGATCAGGTCGGCGCAAGCCAAGACGTGGAATGGATCTACTACGATGGTGGCGAACTTAAGCTCACAATTTTTCGCCTTTAGTTGTGAGCTTTTCCACCTCTTGGCTCAGGCTGGGGCATGCTGACCCCTGAAGGTCGCATCGGATCTTCGTCAGAGTTGAAGATCTTAGAAACAATGCAGCAAAGCTCAGCAAAGCTCAGCCACTGAGCTGTTGAAGGGCCCTGGAGACTGCAGCTGGGGACGTCGAACTTTCGCGACACCGTCCTACCAAGGCCGGGACATTTGTCCTTATGGGCCCTTGGGGCGGACCTGCGGGCCTTTCTTCGTGACAGGTATGGCGTGCCGCCCGAGGAGTTTGACGAGGTGTCACGTGTCCTCATCCTTTGCTTGCTGGGGATTCGGCAGACTCGCATGGCTCGGACCAGCGCCCCAAAAAGCAGCTTGCGCACTGCTTGCTCCACATGCAGTTTCGCAGCCTTGCGGCAAGGTTCTGAAGGCATCAGCTCCCTTGGCGCAGGCAGCATGCCCATGTGCTGAATCGTGGTCTCCATGCCTCATTCCTAAGACAAGCACATCTGTGTTGTTGGGCAGATTGGGCGCCAGATCCCTGGCCTCGTCTTGCGAGACGATGAGCCCTTTGCCCGAGCATGCACGAGCGGTTTAGGAACTTCAGGGGCCAATCCACGCACCCTTTTTACATTCACATGTCCATCCGTCTAGGTAGCTATATAGGTAGCTGGCTACTCGTCTCGCTCGCTCGCGCTCTCGCTCCCTCGCTCCCTCGCTCCCTCGCTCCCTCGCTCCCTCGCTCTCTCGCTCTCTCGCTCTCTCGCTCTCTCGCTCTCTCGCTCTCTCGCTCTCTCGCTCTCTCGCTCTCTCGCTCTCTCGCTCTCTCGCAGTCGCTCTCGCTGTCGCTCGCGCTCTCGCTCTCGCTCCGCTCAACTCACTCACTCACTGACTCACTCACCCATATATATATATATATATACCTAGTGATCCTTGAACCTATTAAAAAGTAGGCTCTTGCTTAAGAACCCGGTTCTGATGCTAGTGTGGTCAAATAACCTGGTTCCTGATTTAGAAACCTGGTTTCTCCCGAAGATGAGTGCAACAGTCCCATAAACCCCAAAACTCGTGAACCAATTCGGGATAATATGGGATAGCGAACATTCTGAATAAAAGAAACAAAGCTCCTTCCGCCGCCTTCGCCACAGGAGTGGCTCGATCGTGAGCTTTGCAGCTCCCAGGCCCCTATATTCTAGACCCAGTATAAACCCCATATATATATATATATATATATATATATATGAGGACTTTCTATGCACCCTACTTCAGCCCTCAATATATACACTGATATACAGAAACTGATAGAAACCCTGTGAATATCCTTTGCAGAACCCAATTTATGGGCCCAAATATCACCTGATCCATTTCGAGAGCCCCTGAACCCTCTCTAATCGCCTAATACAATAGCCCTTTCGAGAGCCCTTAAACCCTCTCTAATCGCCTAATACAATAGCCCCTTTTTAGAGCCCCTTAACCCTCTCTAATCTCCTGATACAATAGCCCCTTCTAAAGCCCCTAAACCCTAGAAAAGCTTTAAAGAACTCGAAAGAGCACAGTTGGTGCTCATGCACTCCGGGGCCATGGTCTTTTTCTTGCAGAACTGCTATGACGGTCGGGCCCCCATGTGTCCTGCGAGCAGATCTTAAGCTGGTTGGTGTGTCTCCTTGGGGCGATTTCCGAAAGCTCTGGGCTCGAAACTATTTTAGTTTCTTCAGCTGCTGCTGGGGTGCTGCTATGGCGGATTCGGGGCCTTCGGTGGAGGGTCTGGCTTCTGAGTGGGATTCGATTCCCACCGTGAGGGATCGTCTCCGGGACGGTCGTGGTTTGATAGAGGAGGTTTCGAGCAAGAATGTCGATATTCAGACTCCTTGTGCCTACGGCGATGTGCTGCTGCCTATCCTTAGAAGGATGAAGGATGCTGCTAAAAAGTTGCCGGGAATCGATTGCCTCCGGGAGCAAGTTACAGCCTTGCTGGAGATGAACAAGCGGGAGCCCGAGGAGACCCTGATTCAGAAAAGCGCCTGGATTTTGAGGAAGCAGTGTGGCTTCGTGAAAATGAAAGTTCGCCGCATGGAAGTGTCTATCGCAGCTCGGTCGAAACCTGCATCATGAACATCATGTGGTGTGATTTCCATATATCTTTTTGCTCAACCCCGGAATCAGCCCAGGAGCCCGAGTTTCAGAAGTTGTGCCTGGCCTTGGATCCCAGCCTGCAGGACCGGGCCAATCAGTGTGGGAGCAATTGTATTGCTTAGCACAATTTTCAGTTCAGCATTTTCCCTGGGATCAGGCTATCGTTGATCAAGTCAACGAGAACAGGGCAAGGTTGCTTGCCTTGAGAAATTCGAGGCAGACTGAGGACAGACTCGGGGAGTGGAGAAGGGTAAGGTATTGTTTGGGTTTTCTTGTGATTCGTGGTGTGCTCTGTATAGGAGACCCAAGACGACGAGGATGAGTACGATGACGATGGTTCGGATCTTGCTGGGCTTTTGGACCAGATGAGGGAGCTCAACCGGGCTCCGGCTGAGGAGCTGGCCGATGGTGCTGGCGGGAGTGGGGATGCTGGTGATGCTGTGGTCACCGAGAATGGGGGCGATGCAAGCCTCGAAGGGCTTGTGGAGGTGAGTGAGGATGAGTATGGGGCTGTAACAGAGGATGAGCCGAAGTGTTCGGTTTCCTGTGCTACCCCGTCGCCTGTGCCGGTTGCCTCCCCGTGTCGTTTGAGCAGCCCCACTACAAAGACCTTTCAGCCCGAAGCGCCGAGTTCAAGCCATTTTCTCAGAAGTGCAATCTTGTTTAGAGCATGTTCCAAGAGTGTGTGTGTGTGTGTTTATGTTTTGGGTTCAGTTGTCTGACAATAAAGGTGAAGATCGAGCTGCCAAGCTTGCACGTGTGGCCCAGCTCAAGGCCAAACTCCAGGAGAGATTCGTCTGCATGTTCTGTGAGTATGTGCTGGCTCATGTTGTGTGGGTTTGCAAAACAGAATTTCTGCATAAGCTCCACCAAGGATGCAGGAGCAGAAGAACAACATGGCCCGGATGGCGGCGGTTCCTGTTTTAACGGCAGGACAGAGCAGGGTTTTGATAGTGCCCTGCTTGTTGCTGCTATGGGTTCCATAAATTTTGTTTGTGAACCCAAAGGACCACCCCCCGCTGCTGCAGCTGGCACTGACACGCAAGGGACGGTGGTGACGAGCATCATGGATGTTGCCTCTCCTCCCTCTACGAGGAAGCCTGAGCACAGCAGCCCCGAAGCTTCGACCGAGAAACTCAGGGCGGACTACCAGCATCGGAACCCGAAGACAGCCACCAAAAAATGGGCGAGGGTGATGATGATGACGACTTTCCATGCTGCCCCCGTTCGCCATACAATCCATACCCTCCTTCGCCAATGAACCCAACGGCCCGAAGCTCGCACGAGGACTTCACCCCGGACAGAAAGGTGCAAGCACAAAGATAACCAATAAGATAAAGATCCCTATCAACTTTTGCATGAGACATCAGATGATCTTTTGATTTCGTTTGAGCTTTTTGCAGCAGGTGCCGAAGAGCTCTGTCGACAGGATTGAGCAGATGAAGCTCCGAGCCTCGACTGCCAGAGGTCGTGGCCGTGGCAGGGGTGGACGGGGGTCGTGGAGCCCGTGAGTACACGGCCGAGCAGTGGGAAGAGTGGGAGGAGTGGAATCTCCTCGAGGACGAGTGGGTTTGCACGCAACAGTTGGAGACCGAGGCGGAGGCGGCAAAGGAGGACGAGGAGAACAACGAGCCGATCGAGAAGTCCAAGCCCAACCGAAAGAAGAAGGCGACGGAGGCGAAGGAGAACAACGAGCAGACGAGAAGTCCAAGCCGGGGAGAAAGAAGAAGGCCACGGAGGCGGAGGAGAAGAACAGCGAGCCGATCGAGAAGTCCAAGCCCGGGAAAAAGAAGAAGGCCACGGAGGCGGAGGAGAACAACAGCGAGCCGATCGAGAAGTCCAAGCCCGGGAAAAAGAAGAAGGCCACGGAGGCGGAGGAGAACAACGAGCAGCCGATCGAGAAGTCCAAGCCCGGGAGAAAGAAGAAGGCCACGGAGGCGGAGGAGAACAACGAGCAGCCGATCGAGAAGTCCAAGCCCGGGAGAAAGAAGAAGGCCACGGAGGCTGAGGAGAACAGCGAGCCGATCGAGAAGTCCAAGCCCGGGAAAAAGAAGAAGGCCACGGAGGCGGAGGAGAAGAACAGCGAGCCGATCGAGAAGTCCAAGCCCGGGAAAAAGAAGAAGGCCACGGAGGCGGAGGAGAAGAACAGCGAGCCGATCGAGAAGTCCAAGCCCGGGAAAAAGAAGAAGGCCACGGAGGCGGAGGAGAACAACAGCGAGCCGATCGAGAAGTCCAAGCCCGGGCAAAAGAAGAAGGCCACGGAGGCGGAGGAGAACAACAGCGAGCCGATCGAGAAGTCCAAGCCCGGGAAAAAGAAGAAGGCCACGGAGGCGGAGGAGAACAACGAGCAGCCGATCGAGAAGTCCAAGCCCGGGAGAAAGAAGAAGGCCACGGAGGCTGAGGAGAACAACGAGCCGATCGAGAAGTCCAAGCCCGGGAGAAAGAAGAAGGCCACGGAGGCGCAGGAGGACGAGGAGGAGAACAAGAAGGAGCCGATCGAGAAGTCCAAGCCCGGTAAAAAGAAGAAGGCCACGGAGGGCGAGCCAGTTGCCAAGAGACGTCGTGGTGGGTGCGAGAACGGCGAGAAAGATACCTTTGCTAGCAGGTACAGACCCGGTGTTCGGCCATTCGAATGTGCACGCTGGGATGCTATCAAGGAGGCTTTTGACACCCATGTCAGGGCGAAGACGACCACACCGAGCATGTACGAGGCTTGCTTAGGTAATTGTTTTGCTGGGGTTCGGTTTACTTTTTATATACATATACCTAAACTCTAAACCCTACATAAACCCTAAACCCTAAACCCCTAAATCCTTGTTTCTGTTTTGTGCATGCTCACGCAGGGGCCGTTCTGGACTTGGTGCATCAAGGACATGAAGGACGAGGACGTGACCGTCGATAATGTGTCGAAGTTTGTAGCCCGGGCTACGAAGCGATACCTCAAGCTATGCCTCGCCATGTGAACGAGCATCTCTGAGCATCAGTGCTGAAGCCCGAGTGAATATTCGTGTTTCATGAAACAAGCCAGGGGCCAATTAGACCTGGGCTGCTGCCGTGCCATTACATCTTTGGCTTATGTGTGTCTTGTCGTAGGCGGGAGAAGGTTGGCTCTTGATCCAACCTTGGGGTGACAAAGGCCACCCGCTGAGGATGATCGTGTGCTTAGAGCAGTCCTGGTGAAGAGGATGGACCGTCTGTTGCTGTTCTGTGTGTATACCCTAAAGCCTATATACCCTTAAACCTGGGTTAACCCTAAATCCTTCTAGAAACCCTACATCTATCTATGCTTATATAGGAGACTATCCCAACACACGCAGTACGGTTCGTCCAGCTTCTTGACCATAGCCACAACGGTGGCTAAGTTCCTACTTTGCATACCTGTGGGGAGTGCTCCTCACACTGCCGCTTCGATGCAGGAACCTTTCCTGTGCTCGGGTGTTCTAATCTCATCTGGGCTACAAATAGTATAGGTCCTGTGGGGGTTGCATGGCTCTATATACAAGGCTTACACAGATAGGAAGGGATTGCACGAAGCGGCATCTTAGTGCGGTTTCCGACATCACACAGTTGCACTCTGCGACAGCCAGAAGTGATCTCGAGGTCGTGGTCAGTTGTGAGGTCTCGGGGAATTGGGTAGGCTTCTGCTGGGCTTTGTATGGGTGGTGTTACAATACTCTATAAGGTTTGAGGCATTGGTTCGCAGTGGCATGACGATGAGGCTGATCGTGACGATGACATGGTATCATGCCGATGACGATGTTGTTGATGCTGGTGATGGTAGTTGTCGGGGCTACAATACGTGGTTCTGTATCTACCGACGTTGAAGCCTGTTCCAAGCTTCCCTAAAAGCTCTCGTGCCCCAACTGAACCCTATAAAGTCCTAAGCCCTGTGTGTTGTTCTGAACAACCATCCTCGGCCCAGGCCAAACGGCGACCGCCGCTGAAGGGCAACATCTGGCGATTGAAGTTGGATCACCTCGAGAAGAGACGTGTTGCCGGCTGAATGCATCACCGCATGCATTGTTTCAGGGAGCGACGGGAAGCTTTGTTGATGTGCTCTGCATGCACCAATGCATGAATTCTGAGCCCGATACATGTGGATCAAAGCAAACTCAGCTCGACGTCGTGCAGGATCCTGGGTGAGCGAGCATTAGACTTTTGCATGGCAGCCCACATTCGGCTGCTGTGTTGGGCTGACTTTCCCAAGGCAGATTTTCCCCGCACTGGGTTTTGTTTTGATTCGTGGCAACTCGGCCTTTCTTCGGAGCTTAGCAAGAGGCCTCTACGGGTTTATAGGGTCCGGGTTTAAGGGTTTAAGGGTTTATCAGCCTCGAAGCACCCAAGCCCCAAGCCCCAGGTCCAAAGCCATCTCACGAGCGCCATCATAAGCCTTATGCCTTATATGTAAAGCTGAAGTCTGGAACCCTCGAAGCCGAAGACCGGCCCAAGCTCCAAAGCCCTAACCCTGAGCCAACTGCACCAACCTCAAAACATTTATGTGACTAATATATATATATATATATATATATATATGTGGGAGTTCCCAAAAACTAGGATCCTCTATGATATATATGTATACTATTTAGGGTACTATATATATATATATATATATATATATAAGTTACGGTCCCCTATTCTCGGCAACTCCCACATACATATATATAGATATACATATATATATATATATATATATATATATATTCATATATATGTAGCCTATATGCGATAACAACCTCAAACCTCTTTAACCCTTAACACGAACTCCTCTAAAAATCAAAGAAGCCCCTTCGAAGCTCCAGGGCACCAAAGAGAAGAGCACGACGACTCGCAGGCAATCCTCGGGGCCGTGTGTTTTTTTCAGGGTGTTATACGTACTATAGGGTTCAGGGTTTTCCATGAGGCTTCGGGTGTTATGTATAGGGTTTAGAGTCTATAGGGTGTGCCTTAGGAGGATGGGATGTGGGTTTACAGGGTGGGCTTAAAGGGCCACTTTTTTTTTGAGGGTTGAGGCTTTCATAAGATGTAGAAGTTTGTGGATGTTTTGCAAGCAGTGCATCCTCTTCTCAGACCACGACAATTACAAAACTAAACTTCATTATGTATGCTATATATATATATATATATCTGCTATACTACTACTACTACTACTACTACTACTACTACTACTACTACTACTACTACTACTATTACTACTACTGCTGCTGCTGCTGTAAAGTACGATACTCTGTCTGGTTCTCTCTCCCTATCTCTATTGTCACTTCGTGGCTGCTTCTGACGGTCCGGTGTGTCCTCATGTCCATTCTTGGCTTCTGTAGAGTAGCTGGCCCCTGTTTAGGTCAGGAGTGTCCTGTCTTGTAAATCATATTAGTCTTGGACGGCACCAATGGCTGCAGCCTCCGTGCCTTCTGATCAATCACAGCAGATGTGGCACTGCACACCTGTCGGCTGTTTACTCATACACCCAGGAGCAGGCCACAGGCACTGCTGCAGTCTGTGTCCCCGATCGAATGCTGCAAGGCACACGAGGCGATGCCAGAGGCTTCAACTTGCTCTTGCTCGTGGTCCGGCTGTGGGTGGTGCTACTGTCACTGTGTGCATCACGGATGGCTGCAATCGGTTAGCTGGGGTCGGGTTTGCTACGTGTTGCTCCAAGTGCCATCGCAGCAGTGCCCGCCGACACAGTCACCGATGTGATGGCCTACAGCAACGAGTCCCTGCCACACAACTTGTAGCTACGGGAGGTCACGAGGCGTCATCGGCTGGCAGTTCTACAGCATCACCTGCTGCAGGGAACCATGGGACGGCAATGGTGCAGCAAGGCACGGACATGTCGGTTTCTCAGGCGAGTTCGACCACTGCTTGGAATACGCAGCAGTCTGTGCAGGCATTGATGAATGAGTCCAGCCATCCGGAGCAAGAGTTTAGTGGTTCTTCTGATTTGGTGATTGATCTTGACTTGATGGATTAGAAACGTTTCGGCGAGTCTATGAGAAGGCCAGCAATGGAGCAGGCACTTGGTTCGCTGCTTGCAAAACATCGACTCGATGTGTGCTCATGCTTCCAGTATATACGCTGCCTAAGCGATACTTCAAAAGCTTGCGGAGCACCAAAAACATGATCTCCGCCAGCTCGTCCTGCAGTGCGAGGAAATCCTTTCAGAGAGTTCTCGCCAAATCTCTTTGCATGTCAAAGCCGACACGCTTCAAGAGTCGCAAGTCGCTGAGGACTCTATATATGTATATATATATATATATATATATACATATATGTGTATAGATACACACACACATATATATATATATATATATTATACAGGATGTATATTATGTACACTATATAGATGCCATCTATACATGTGTGTATGTATATATAATATACTACACACATTACATATACTAGCCATACTGTATATATTGGATATATACATACATATATATATACATATATATATATATACATATATATATACACTGTGTATATGTACATGTTAACATATGTGTGTGTGTGTGTGTGTGTTCTGCACCACTGCCACCACCACCAGCACCACGGCTTGTGCCGCTGCTAGTGCTTCTGCTGCGGCACCACCAGCATCACCATAATCACAACCACAAGGACCTGCCAAGTATAGTATATGGTATATGTACACATATATATATATATAGATCAATTTCAACTATATATATATATGTGCCCGATACCTTTAGGGTCTATATAACCGCGGTTTGTTGTCTTCAGCACATAATGGAAAGCAAAATATAGGGTATAAGCACAGCCCACATTACAAAGCCACGACCTGAAAAGTTTCGGATCGACTAGGCTATATTTTTCTATCAAGTAATTATAGCAAATTATTCGCATTCAGGGAGACGAGTATTATATAAACAGAACATCGAGTGTTGATCCCAGCACTGTCGATGAATAAACATTCGTTGTGATGACACATTTCAGTGTATAGAGTCCATACATCTTCCAGGAATGATGTATCGTCGTGGAGATATGCATAGCACTGTCAGCAGTATATCGGCAACACGGACAAATTCTCCTGTCCCAATGTTTCACAATTCGACTTATTGTTGACTTGCCAGCGTTTGAGTAATTGCATACGACATATCCACCCAAGAATCACGTGACTTGCCAGCGTTTGAGTAATTGCATACGACATATCCACCCAAGAATCACGTAATAAGCATGCACGCTGTAATATGGCATAAATTTGTTTGTAATTTCCGCACAGGCCAGAATGCATAACCTGACAGGTTCGGTACTCATGAATCGGATGTGTTCATATGACAAACTATGGGAATACATACGGCATGACACATCCATATCACATGATGCTGTCGCAACACTTACTACAACTCGTTGCCTGTTAGATTCTGTTGTTACATATGCTACATATATCTACTGAGGCAAGCCAGGTCTTGAACAAACTAGTTCCTTGTCAATAGGGTTTCAATATGAGGAGTGCATGTAATGTATTGGTTCGCCCTGTCCAGGAAGTGAAGAGAAACATTATAGCCCCTGCAATGTGCCAGTTTCTTCTGTCCGTAAGAAGGGCTTTCCGATGTATCAGCTTCATATCAAGAGGGCTTCAGTAGGATGAGTGGGCGTGACAGGTCAAAGGCTTGTAATGTGTTCGTTTGTTCTGTCTGGGGGCTTTCGAATGTATAAGTTCCTCGCCAAAAGAGTTTCGATAGGCGGGAGTGGAGTGACACATTAGAGAGTCTATATTGTGTCAGTTTGTTCTGCCCAGGGGCCTTCCAATATACAGGGTCGCTTCAGTGTATAAGTTCCTTGTCAATAGGTTTCCATGGGGAATGGAGTAACACATTAGAGGGTCTGTAATGTGTCAGGTCGCTGTGTCCAGGAGCCTTCCAAAGTAGGATTTTCCTTGTCAATATACTTTCAATAGAAGGGATGAAGTGAGTGAGTGAGTGAGTGTGGCTGGGTATTGTGAGGCCCC